GTCTGCCACACGCGGGAGCCGATGGGCAGCAGAAATCTCCACGTCCAGTAGGGGCACCTCCAGGACCTTGGGTACAATCCAGTCCTTGTCCTCATCTTCTGTGAGAGAGACCTACGGAGTTCATGGGTCCAGAGAAACCACAGATTTCACGGAGCAGGTGGCAGACCCTTTGCTGACACACTCGCACTCTCCTTCGGAAGGCCCTTCCCCAGGTGAGCTCAAGTTAGAAGTGAAATACCATTTTTCTTGTAAGTAGGAGGAGGACTGTTACTGTATCTTACACTTGCCTAACTTTTTTCTGCTGTTGAAAGACGTGACAGCTATGCAGAATATATCATTTGGAAGGATGCTGTGTGATTTTTGTGTCTGAAATATTGCAGCTCTTGCTTGACCAAAAAATGTAGTTTGGGTTTTCTACAGAAAGGATGCATGGATGGAAAGTTTTGTTATGCCAAGAAAAAGAATTAACTTTCAAATCAATTTTTTTTTTTTTTTACTATCTCCAGTTGCTATCTCTATTTCATATGCGAGAGAACTAAGTAAAGGAGAATTAGATCATGTCCCTGTGGTCCCAGTTTCTGCTCTCTGTCCTATGCCTTGGACCATGCTGCTTCCCAGAAATCGAGCCAGTTCAACAAATTTAAGGCAGCTTTGAATGTGGTCTCTGAGGTCCTTCATGTGGCTGTTTGGTCCTCGACCCCACTGTGGTGCTGAAGGGGTCTGATCCCCCTGACCTCATTTCTTCAGACTTCTCCTCTAAGACCTTCACACTCCTCAGCATTGCGCCTGGTCTGAACTGATTTCCAGCCTTTTCTGGGTTGTTATGATATTTGTTTGTTCTAGCAGCATAGAGTGCACTCAGGCACGTAATGGTGAAATCAAGTGCATGACGTACCAGTTCAACAGTTTTCATACAATAGCGCTTTTCTCAGCTTCAAACCACATTTTTTAGAAGACAAATTTCTGTAAGGGGGTTTCACGTCTTTGGAAATTTCCTATTTTCTCTGGATTGACATCTTCTTGTATTTTCTACTTGTGCTTGTACTTGCTGCCTGTGGGTGTTACTGGAAGAGAGCTCCTCTGTTTATTTACAGTTTCACGTGTGTAAAAATATTAATTGTTTTTTTCATCACAACTCAGCTACTGGAAGCAGCCGTGTGTCATTCAGCATCCTGTCAACAGAGAGAAGAACCAATTTGCCCACCACCAGTACCTCCATATCCACTACAGCCACCAAGGGTGGAGGGAGGACACTAAGGTCTCTGCCAGCCAGCACCAGGCTGGCCCAAACGACAGAGGTTTCCACTGCTGGTACGGAAACCATCAGCTCTCCAGACCATACTTGGTCCTCTTTGGGAACCCAGACTCATGGTGGCAGAGGTGCCACATCGCTGTCTACAGACTCGTTGCTCACAGGCTCACCATCTGCTTTGGAAAGTGCTTCCTCAGGTGAGCTCTGACCATCCCTGTAGGACTTCTTTCTGTGAACCACAAATGTCCTCTCTGTATGGAGTGAGGATGCGCTAGAAGGTGCTGGACAATGGCATGGGGCATTATGGAGGAAAATTTCGTGCATTAGCTGTTTTGTGCATTTAGTCACCAGAAAAAAACAGCCTTACTTACTGCAAGAGTAGTCCAGCCCCGAGGTTTGGTGTGGGTTTTTTTGTGAGATAGCACAATTTCAGGAGCACCCTGTTTGCTGTGCGTATACAAGCATGAAGCGACACCAGTCGTTCCTGGCATCTGCCCTGGGGTGCAAATGCTGCATCTACTGACCCAGTACAGCCCTGCCCAGCTTTATTTTGAGTATCGGGGATTTAGGTGCTGCTGCATCCTCACCTCCCTCACCGCGGTGCCGGTGGCTGGGGTGCAGCACCAGGAGCAGCGCCGAAGGGAAGCGAACCCAGCAGTGCTCCCACGACTTGTTCCTGATGCCCTCTTCGGGGTGTCCTCCTGTGAGCCGCGCTTCCTTGCACAAGACAGGGTTGTGTCTTCATGGTTTTCTCCTAAGTTGAGATCTTCTGACAATGTTCTATCTGTGCCCTGAGCCTAAGGTTGGTGACGGAAGAGTGCGCACCTACCAATTTATAGCTTAGTGTGCATTTGTCCTTTGTTTGGCAGAAGGGACCTCAGCTACAGAAGGACACCTGCCTGATGCTCCTCTCACCAGTATGCCCAGCTTGGTGATGGCCACCAGCAGTGGGGAGAGGACCGTGATGCCTGTGTCAGACACCCGTGCAGCATCCAGTGCGATAGAGAGCTCTGCTCCCACTTCACCCCACACAAGGTCCTTGGATGTGGTCCTTCTGCCGTCATCATCAGCAGAGCCGGGGAGGCAAAGTAATGTTTCACAGAGCGGTGCTGTGCTCGCTGAGCTTGCAACAAAACCACTGCCTGCATTTCCCCCCAGCGTTTCAGTGCCTTCGCCTTCACCAAGTGCTTCAGGTGGGTCTTGTGGTTTCCCAGTTTGCCATGGAAGGCATCTCTCCTCCTCACCCCCCTCCTGAACTCCCACCTTCCTTTTTCTGGCTTTAAACTAGATTTGCCTTTTTAGCTGGTTTATAGTGAAGGGCATCTGAGCACAGCACGGCTGGCAAGTTACTTGGGGCAGCGTTTCTCGTGTCAGGAACTAGATGGCCAGGCAGCTCTTCTGGGCCACACCTGAAGGCTGCCATGGAGCCTTGACCTCAGCCCTCAAACCAGGGGAGCCTGGCATGAGATGTGGCGAGGGTATCAGTAGACCTTTTGCCCTTCCTTATACCCCAGTTAAAGTTTCAGCTTTGGCTCTGCTTCCAGGGTCCCACCAGAGCTGGTCTGAAACCCTCTGGTCCTCCCAATGGAATTTTCTGCAGGACATCCAAGACCAGGTCCTACCTCCTGGCCGCTGTTCTCCTTCAGAAATGCTGTGCGCCTCAATCTGGTTTATTTTTCTGGTGTAAAGGGGAAAAGTACAGATTACCTGAAAACTCCACTTAGCAAATAAGTGATATTGGTCACCAAACGCCACCTCTGCTGTGGGAATTTAAATGTTCAGATTTCAGTCCCTGTAGAGGCCTCAGAGGTATTGTTAATATATAAAATACATGTATTTTAATATATGTATGTATGTATATCTCTGTTTTGCAATTCCAGAAAGAGGAAAAAGAGGTTCTGGTGCTCCTTCTGAGAACACATACGCCTCAACCGCGCTCCCCAGCCATGAGGAGGGGACATCTCAGGCTGCTCCTGACCGCGGCACGTGGAGCACAGTGGCGGCAAGCCCCACATCTCAGCAGGACACATCTGGGGAGCCCCACACCAGCCCCCTCCTGTCCTCCACAACATGGCCTGGAGCAGTACATGTCTCGTCCAGCCGTGCAGGGTACCCAGAGCCCAAGATCACCCTTTCGTCCAGGGTCTCCACTTACTTCTTGGCTGCCAGTGAACCTTCTAGTGAGTTTTTCTGAACTCTGGGATGATGTTTAAATTAAGAAAAAACCCACTCCCTCTCCCTCCCCCTCTTCCATGGCATTGATATGACCACCAACATGTGTCAGAGCTGTTGCGGTGTCTTGGGCAGGATCTATAAATGATGGTGATTCTGCTCCTTGGCGTTGTATATCTACAGCTGTTGGCACTTAATGAAAAAGTCTCAGGAATGAGATGTGTAGCTTTTTTCTCTAGGAGACATCTACTACCTGCTTGGGTTGGGGTAATAACTATAAATAACACAAATACGCTGTTGTGACTCTAACGGTACCAATTGTCCCTCTGTATTTGGACTGTCCTGTTTCTTTGGAGTAGGCTTTGTGCATTAAATCCACATTTAAGGTGACAGATATGCGAGATCTACTTCATCTGTGTTTCATCTGTGTTTAATCTGTGTTTATCTGTGCGATTTTATTAATCCGTATTTCCAAACAGAATTATTGTAGAACTCGTAAATGCTCTCTGCTCTGAGGTGATAAAATCAGATTCCTGCTTTTCGATCCTATTTCAGCCATGGGCAGCAGCCATCACTCCCTAAGCAGCTCGAGTGCCGAGGAAAGGATGTCCAGCCCCACCACTGATCCTGCGTACAGTTCACCTACACCTGCTGGTGGTGGAGAGAGGTCGCTGCACTCGGTGACGGACAGCACGGTGGCCGGTGGCACGGAGAGCTCCACGTCCTATACCAAAACCGCCAGCTCTCCACGGCCGGCTGAGCTGGCGTCGGTGGAGCAGCGTGGGACGGCCAATGCCTCCACCAGCAGTGGGGCCTTCGCAGGCTTTGCAACAGAAACGCTCTTCACACGTTCTTCCAAGATACCCACTTCTTTCCAAAACGATCTCACAAGTTAGTGTCTCCTGGTGTACATTTGGAGGGGGGGAAGTTCACATTGTCTTGCATTTTTCTATGTTGTATACAAAGTTCTTATTCATTAGTACATGCAATGCCACCTGCAGGTGCACTCAGAGGGATGTTTTCATCAAAGGACTCAAAGCCAGACCCCACCTGGCTGGGTAATCATTGCAGAAGTGAAGCCATGAACCCAAGCAGGGAAACACTCCAGTTTTGAAGGCCACGTTATATTTTGCAGCCGAACTGGTTTCTTTTGGGTGATGCTTTCAGAAGTGTTTCATGATAACCTAAGTCAATTATAGAATTAAACCCGATTTTCAATACCCTATTTTTAATTTTTAGGGATTGCTGAACTTAAGTGTACATCCTGAAATTTGTATTATAAAATTGACTTGCACCTTTTATGCTAAACAATCTGTATTTTTTGCAGATTGACCAACCTAAATTTTTTGCAGGCTGATGTGCTTCTCATTTAGGATTTCCTGACTGCAAAGCTTTCAATCAATGAGTTCGTGATAAGCTGCAAATTAACATAATGTAGTAATTTCATCCTGCAGAGGGATGAAGTTTGCTGTGTCTAAAAATCAACTGACTGAAGAAGATGGATATTCTTTAGTTAGGAATGGAAGATAAGAGGGAGGTGGTATAAGTTTTATAAATTATGAGTGATAAAGAGAACAGATGGATTTTCCTGCTTAGCTTGCCATAAAGCTAACTGCTCAATCCTGTTAGAAAAGCAATACTGGAAGAATACTGGTTTAGAAACCTACGCGTATCATGGGAACTTGCATCTGTCTGAGTTCACCATTTTAGAATGAATTAAGAAGTGCAGAAGACTCCTGATTCAATAGCCATGCTTGCACGGTGCTGTAAATTGTTAGAAGAGCACAGGCCAGTTCACAAACAAGAACATTTTATGTGTTTAGCAAGTTATTTTAATATAACATCAAAATACTTTCATATTAGTGAGTCTTTCTAATATATTTTGTGCTTTTACTCCAGGCTTTTCAAGTAGCCATCAGCCAGTCAGTAGCATCGATGCTGAGAAACGGAGCTCGGTTTCTCATACGGACGGCACATACATTTCAACCATCTATACCAGAGGAGGAGAAAGGACCCTGCTATCTATCTCGAATAGCAGCACTTCTACTGACTCCTCAGAAAGTTCCACCTTTTTTTCTGAAATTTCCAACCCTTCTGATTCATTGAAGTCTTCTGTGGCACAGGACAGGAGGAACAACATATCCAGTGATGGCAGTTTTGTTGAACCATCTACAGAGCCGTTGCTGGTGCACTCTTCCAAACTCTTGACTTCTACTTCTGCAGGCAGCGTACAAAATACAACTCTCTTCAACACTGACTCTGAGTTGTTGACCACGGGCAGATCATCTTCATCAGAATTTCCAACCTCTTCCTCAGTGTCATCGCTCCATCACTTACTGCCATCAACACCAGCACCAACTTATTTGCTTACATCATCAGAGTCATCTGAGCCACTGTCACCCTCTGTGATGGCATCTTCACCTCCTATGCAGGCTTTGTCGTCCTCCTTGCCCACTTCCTCATTGCTTTCCCCATCTTATTCCTTAGCATCTTTATTGCCTCTGTTTTCGTCCCCATCATCCATCTCACAGTCCAACGATAGTGGTCAAACAAGCACCTCCGTAGCTGCAACTGTGGTCAGGCAGGTGCCCTCCACAACCGCCGTAGCCAGGAGCTCACCCAGAGGGACCTACAAGAACAACGTTACACACCAGCCCCAAAACAGCAGCGCCTTCACTTCCACCAGGTCTCCTCCTCTCCCCACAGCACCCATGGAACAGCTTGGTGGACGCATTGTGTCCGTGTCCATGTCCACTCCTGTGATGGTAACGGAGACTGCCTCACCAAAAGCCACCACCATCCAGGGAGGCACCTTTGAGAAGGCAACGTCGTCGCTGCTCACCATGACCAGTGATGCCCCACGGGCTGGGCCGACCGATGCACCTCTTAGTCCCTCACCAAGTTCAACAAACCACAGTGTCATTGTCCCTGCAGTGGCACTAACCACGGTGAAACCTCCTGTGTTGACAACACTGGCCAGTCACCGGCCGACCCCAGGTGATGCTAGCACCACGAAAGCCCACAGTACTCAGACACCTGCTGCCACTAAGCATGTGTATACTACTGGTGAAAGCACAGAAGCTGTGGATCCCACCACTGCAAGACCTGGTAAAGTCACTGAGGAAAACATCCCTGTTACAAGTCCTTCTGAAGCCCCTCCAACCAGCAAGACCGCTGTGAGCATTGCAACTACTGTGGCTGCTACCAAACTAACCACTGTTCCACCATCAAGCAGCACAACCAGGCTGAGGACATCATCTCCAGCAACAGGTAACATGTCTAATGACACTTAATCAGTGGTGGGGCCAGGGACAAGAGGGCCAGGAACACCTGGGTCCCACTTTAAGGGTCTTCTGAGGGTTATGTATGCAGGTATGACAGATCTGTTGTCAGCAGGGTTTGAGGATAAGAACTCAGTCTCCATGTTTAAGCTAAGGGTTTAGCAATCAAGCTCAGCTGCTGGAAGAGGATGAGCATTTTGGTGAACATTTCTGATAGAAATGTTAAGCTGAAATTTGAGATTTTCAAGAAAATAAAGCTGACTGGCCTTCCAGGTAAGCATAGGAAGCATTTTATATGTGTTGATCGGTCAACAATATCTATCAATATCAATCAATATCTATCTTATTAATGAGAAAAGGTGGTTGACCAGCACTTGGTATTTGTGTTGGAACTTCCTCTGTTATGACCTATGGTCGTTTTCTCCCCACCTCACTAAACAATCTCCTACTCAAGGGCCACCTCCCGTAGTCCTGCTGAGTGCGTTGTTACAATCGTTTATAACGACTGCCAGGCTCCTTGTCTTCCCAAGTAAATACATTGGGCGAAGTTTTATATGAATGGAAATCAGTTCTGTGTTTAAAGTTCAGGAGCCTGGCCCTCATGCCACTGTAGGATATTGTGCGTGCGAATTGCATTAGTCTCAGTGAAATACTGGCAAGAGTATATATTCCATCCAATAATTAAGTATTTCAGGGTTATTTCTTGGGCTGATTAGTTTTAGCTATAGCTATGGCTTCATGCAAAAAAAAAAAATCACTGTAAGGGAATGAATTTTTTTTTTTTTTAATCAAAAACCAATGTAACATCTCCTTTTTACCAACTGATTCACTCTTTTGCCAAGTAACTCTTTCCTTTAAATACCGAGTTTTGCCATTTACCAGAATGGCAAAGGTTATCTTCTGCTGCCTGAGACACGGTGCTTTGTGTGTGGGCACTTACTGCCGGGAGAGAAGCAGCTGCCCGGGTCCCCCCGTACAAAGCGCAAGCTGAAGGACAGCAAAGTGAAAACCAGTGTTTTAAAATACCCACCCGCTGCTGGCTGCTTAGATCAGAGACACCCAATCTCCTCCTCGACAATGCTGTGGTAGCCGTGCCAGGCTGGTCGAGTCATGGAGACCGCGTCAAATGATGTGTCCTGACGCAGAGGTCGGCTTGGGACTGCGTGGTGCCGCTGTCGGAAATACACACACGACTCTGGCTCTCGCGCTTTGTGCTTTAGCTGCGAAGGCCACCCGTCCTGCCCCTGCTGCAGCGCTTGGCAGCAGCCGCAAAATAGGTACGGGTGGAGTGTAAGATGTCTTGCTCATCTTGTAGCACCTTGTCACTAAGAAGTCCGCAGCCCTGCTCCCATTCTGCCCTTGCACACGTGTGTGACGTGTGTTTGTGCTCATGTGGGTTATATGCACAGCAAGAGGAGCATTTTTGACCAGGACATGGTTTTTTTTCCAAAGGGAGGTATTGGATATCTTCTCCAGAACTTGCAGTTTGAGTTTTCTAATTTATGAAGCATCTGATTCTACTGTCATTAATTCCCCAAAACACCATATTTTGCAGTTGGTGTCTGCTCCCAAAGCCCTTGCTCACCCAGTGGGAAATGCATTACAAGGTCCCTTTTTTGGTCTCTCCATCCGTGACTGTAGGGTTGTTCGTCTTTGGAAAGCACTCTGAGATCTGCAGATGAGCAGTGCTGTAGACAAGCTGGGTGTTAATTCTTAACATGAATCAACACTGGATCCCAAGAGCTTTTGAATGTATATTCAGGAGAAAGTGGTTTGTGTTTATTCTTTCAACTCCAACACAATAATTAAGAACCAGATAAATAGTAAATACAAATGATGGAATGAAGCATCTGATAATGCTCGGGATGTTACGGCAGAGGAGCCAAGTTGATCTGTTTTAGCCCAACGGTTGATGATTTTTGTAATTCTTTAACTACAGGTTGAGTTTTTTTCTGCTTTTGTAGATGTGGATAAATGTCTTTCCAACCCTTGTCCTGCGCTGGCCACCTGCAACAGCACCCGTGGCTCCTACATCTGTCAGTGTCCTCTTGGATATGAGCTGGAAAAAGGAAAGTGCAATTTAGGTAAGAAAACAAAAGTGAAAAACCAGGGGAGAAAAAGATGGAAATAATCTTCTAAAATAAATTAACCTAGACTCAGACTAGTTCAGGAGCTTCATGTTCCTCCCAGCCACCACTTTTAACAAGAGCCTCTTAGTGTTTATACAAGTGCAGCGTCTAATGCCGGTCATGTTGGGGTGCCCCAGGGAGCAGGAGCAGTGACAGCTGAGGGTCTCTTAAAAACACAGCAACGGAGCAGTGGGCTGGGGCTTGTTAGTAAGGACAGATGTGCCCCTTCTGTTCCAAATGTGTTTTACAAGCAAAAAGTGTTCAGCAGCTGATCGTAGCTCCCAGCCCTGCAAACCTGGGTGACGGTGCTCGGCCTGGGAGAGGAGAGCGGGGCTATTGTGTAACCCGGCTTCGGTGGGATCGGCCATGTGTGGAAAATTAAGCAGCCGTGAAAGTCTTTGCAAGATCAAGGTCTTTTTTCATACCTTTAGGATTTTTCATGCAGCACATTTATTAGTTGGAACTCAGATTCTGACCCCTTCCTTTCTGTTAGAGGACTCTCCATCTCAAGGATTTACAATGTCCCATTGTGAAGGGGGATTTGTTTTGCTAGAGTTTCTTCTGAGCCTTAATCAGCGAGGATTAGAGGCATGGAAATTTTGCTAAGGAAACAGGAGTGAGGTGTCCCTGAAGGGTGTTTTGAAACATTTCTTCAAATTGGAATGTGTCAGCTTCTAATTTAGAGAGTTGTTTTGATTATGCCTTGAACTGGGATACAGGCAGATTATATAAATACTGTGAAGGTGATTCTCATCTTATTTATACCCGGAGTTGTTACATTAGAGCTGTCCGCTATAAAATTTGTGGCGAAGATAGGCTCAGTGGATGGGAAAAAATGGGAAAGGATTGGAGGCTTTACAATGTTATCTGCAACCATATTTGTTTTTCTGGTGGAACATAATACTGGAGCTCTGAGTTCTCATTTCCACCGAGTATCTCATGACACTTAATACAAGATTTAGGGATATTATCTCTCCAAGTCTGGATGACTCGGATTATTGCATTCTGCTGCCATGAATCAAATATGAATCTAAGCAGAGAAAAATGCATCTTTTGGACCTCTTTTCAAATGTCATTGCTCGTTTTGTCTAACAGTTTGAAAAATGAAAATGTCCTTTCCACAGTGCTTTATTTTGACTTGCTGATTTGTTTTCCTTCCATTGCAGGGAGGGGTAAGAGATTTGACGCATTTATCGCAAATTATTATAAATAGCTTTGGTACCTGAAACTGGCATGTTACTAAATTTACCCAGCTCTCTCTGTGTTCAGGGTCCTTTTAAATTAGTCTGTGTTTCTCTATGAAATGTGTGACCACTGCAGTGAAATGCTGGCTGTTGGGCAGCATTGAGCTCTGGAATTTGACTGGGGCTGTGGGAACATCACAGCAACCCTTGGGAAAAATCCCAAGGCTGAGACTTTGCTGTATTGGGGCAGTGACTCTCAGACGTGAGTTTTCTGTCCACTGCTTGAAGGAGTTTTTCCACACAGACAGTCTCTTGTGTACGGCAGATGAAACCGCAGCTGTACGTGGCACGGAGACATACATTCTAACTTGTCTTATTCTCCTTTTTAGTAAGAATATTTATTGGCCAGGTCCCCCTGAAACTTAATACTACCCATGGGAAGTACGCGGAGCTCCTCCACGTCGAGGGTGAAATCCTGGCAATGGTGAGTGTCATTACTGGGACTTCGGCCATGCTGATGGGATAGGTCCGCTTCGTTCCTCTTATGGTTGGCATGGGGAGCCACAAGGCTCTGTAGTGCGGATTTAGCCTTTTTAATCATTGAACCATCCTGGTCTGGTGTAAGGAGGACTGGTGAGATACACGCTTTTAAATCCCAACATGCTTCTCTCCCGTGCCCTGTGCAGGCTGGCTGGCCAGCAGAGGAGAGATCCAGCTCCTGTGAGGGTTAAGGCAGCATCTATCTGCCCAGAAAATCCTGAAGCCTTTTTCATGCAGTGTGTGGTTGAATTCACGCTTCTTTAGCCTCCATCCTTTCCCAGTGTCTCCTGGCTGCATTGCCTTTTCCAGATCTCAGAAGGGCATTAGTGCTCCTCCAAGGTCAAACATTAAAACAGTAGCTCTGGGCTTCATTGTTCATCAGTAAATCTCACAGGGGCTGGGGTGGGTTGGGCTGCATCTGGTGCCACCTTGATCTTTGCCAAACCCCATGGGCTGAAGCAGAGCAGCAGCACCTGCCCAAACATACCTTCCTCTTGGTGGAGTTTCCCAGCCATGCTGTCGCAACCATGTGGCTCTTGGTCAGTTGAGAGCAAGCACTGAGTGAGCTGGTGGCTTCCCCATATGCTGTGCCAGTAGCTGCTGCAAAAAGACCCCTGGGATGGGGATAGGTACATCTCTGTACATTTTTTAGCCAGATCATTGCATGCATGAGTTCATCCTGTTAGCAGTTCCTGGGATGACTGCAGTTAATCCCAACTCTTTCTGGAGGAGGTGATTTGGAGGTGCCACCAAAGGAGGTGGGAGCTAGGATGAGTCTCCTTGATGCTGCCTGCACAGCTTATGCTGGGAAGTGAACACAAACAACCATGCAGATCCAGGGGAAGGGAGGCTCCTTGGAAAATGTGCAGTCTCTGAGGACGCTGCTTTGAGCTTGACCTTGTGTGGAGCTCTCTCCCTGCTGCCTTCTGGCTTGTCCTTTGCAATCATTATATACTGGGGCCCCAGGCAGGTACTTATGTCAAAACACCCAGGTCTTCATTCTTGTCCAAGGCTGCATGGTGGTGACTTCAGCCATCCCTTGCTAGCAACAGGATGAGGAGGAGCATGGCTGGGACAGAAGACTCGCAACTCCTAGCTTATGATTTGAACTTAGATTTAGGATTGAGGGCCAAATTGGCCAATGGAAAATTCCGTGTCATGCAATGTCATGTCTGTTTTATAGATGTGGGTTGACCAGGAAGTTGAGAATTCTCCTTCTCTTCTGGGGGACTCTCTCAGTCTCTCAGAGTTCTCTCTCTTTCTTGCTCTCTTTTTGGGCATCTTGTTCATCTGGGATTGCGGTGTCAGGACTTATCTGTTTCGGGATCACTTGCTGGGATGGGATGGGCGTTTGTCACCAGGTGGTGTGCAATTCTACTGTGCATCGCTTGTTTGTGTATATTATTATCATTACATATGTGTATTCATATATTATTATTTTATCATTATTACTGTTAATTTTATATTATCATCATTATTACATTGTTCCTATCTCAACCTGCAAGTCTCCTTCCCTTTTACCTGTTAATTCTCTTCCCTGTTCCCCAGAGATGGGAGAGGGTGAGCAAGTGGCTGCCTGGTGTTTAGTTGCTGGCCAGGTTAAACCAGGACAGTCCTGCTGGCCTGCCTCTTTCCATCGTCCCCCAGGGAAACTAACAGCTGCTTTCTCCTTCCTCGCAGCTTGATGGATCGCTGTCGGGCTTGCCAGGGTACCACCACTCCACGGTTAAGGCAACCAGGTAAGGCTAAGGCTACCAGGGGAAGGATAAGAAACTCGAGTGCTCGGGGTGTTCAACTTGAGATCCACATTCTCCATTTTGAGTTGGTGCTGGGCTTGATGCAATCCAGCCCGGCGGTAGCATAGGGCATGGGGAATGCCTTGCCTGGCTCTCCCAGTACCCTCCTCCTGGCCTGAGCAGCTTGGGGACAGGCTCGTGGGCTGCCCAGGAGGGATTTATGGCTGGTTTCAAAGTGAGCTACCAGCACCCTTTCCAGCCCCAAATTTACTTCTCTGTCTGTAAGTTTGTCCTGTTTTTAAGGTCTGTGACAATGCACAGCTGTTTCCGTATGTATGCAATATTGTGTCTGTGGTAAGCATCGCTTGCATTAATAAGAGTCCTATGCATCATGTGTGTTAATAAGAGTCTTATGTATAAGGTGCTAACGATGACGTCAGACTGACCCGTGATACTCAGGGCTGTTTTGTTTTGTTTTCTGTTAGGGAGGCAAATTTTGTGCATGTTTCAGTGCAATCCACCTTCGCTTTAACATCCAATGTGACTTTCTACGATGTTATCAGCAGCGTGAAAAGCTACATTCGAGCTTGCACATCCCCCACTGAAGCTTGTCAGTTCATCTCCAGCCTGAAACCGCTCCACAGAGGTAAAGAGCATCTGGAGACACTGTGATGGGATGGGAAGGGGATGTTTTATTTGGCTTCTTTTATAACAGAGGGAGAAAGATTTTGGCCAAAATCTTTAGAGGGTTTTTTCCTGTGGTGGTTTGGCCTTCTAAATCTTTTTCATCTTATTTGAGTGGGATTCGTCTTAAGAACCTGGCAGTACAAAAGGGCTGCAGATATCGAGCCTTATCTTTGTCGCGTGTGTGAGAAATCTGCCTTTCTGTGAAATCATTGTGCAGCACGGGATTAGAGGTGTTGTAGGGCAGCCTTTCATCTCTGGGATGTGGCAATGGGCCCTCAGCCAGATCAAAACCCTGTAAGTCTTACTTCCACCCGTGCGGCCGGGAGCTGGGGAAACGGCGTGAAAACCGAGAGATAAAACCCCGTGGTGAAGTCGATTAGAACTGCTGAAGGCTACACGGGGTGCTGCGCTCTCCTGCCTACCCAAGTTCAGTGTTGCAGGGTGTAAAAGTGGTTCACAATTAAGAGCTTTTGATTTCTGTACCCAGTGCTCAACTTGCCAAAGGAAAACGTGGGTGTGGCACAGAGAGACCTGGAGATGCGCATCAGCGTTGTGCAGGACCTTCTCCAGGTGGACCCCATTGGTGGCGGTGGCCCCAATTGGTGGCGGTGGCCCCCATTGGTGGCGGTGGCCCTGTGCCCTGCACCTCCCGGTCCTTGCTTTCCGAGGGAGCCATAGAGGAGATGTAGCCGTGAGAGGTAGTGGCAGGATGCAGGAGGTGAGCACCCCTGAAAGATGGGCTCCTGCAAGGAAACTTCTGCACATGGAGCTCTGTGATGTTGGGATTCGAGGCTTTGAGGTTTGACTTTGAGGATGAAGGATGACAGCGCTTAACCTGGGCACAGTGGTAAACCTCTCCATTGTTTTGGCAACGTAAACAAAAAGATGAGAAATTTAGCGTGCGTTTTATTTTAATGTGCTGTATTTTAAAGCCACACTCCACCATGGATTGAATTAAATTATTTTGGTAGACCCGCTCAGATTGTACCTAGCCATTACTTCTGATACAGTGCGTCTCCTGGTAAAGTCTACTTCTAACTTGAAATAAGCAGAATAAGAAATAAATTATGTTCTTGTGTAAGTACTTAAAAGAAAAGATGTCAGATCAGAAAAAGAAAAAAGCTGATGGATCTAGCAGGGAGAGGTTTATAAAAGGTGAGTACCAAATGAGTGACACGTTTTCCATAAAATCCTATTTTTCATGGATATTTTTTCATTTGTTCATTCCATTTAGTCTGACCTCCCAGTAAAAAATGTAAATTTGGTGACACAATTTCCATCATTTACCCACAGTTTTGCTGATTGCTCATTGCAACAAATCTGGCTTTGGAAAGTAAAACACTGCTTCGAAGTAATGTATGTGAAAGGACAAATTCTTTGAAACATTAAAAAATCCAGTGCTTAATATTGAAATGGAAGAAAATTGGTTTGGGCTGAGAAAAATGTTTTGCTTGATAGAAACTTAAAAATTGATTTGTTGACCTGTCTCAGGGGGCGAATGTGTTTCCACTTGAGCCAAACCAAATTTTTCTTTTTCATTTCTGCTTCTGCCTTCAAGGTGAAACGTTTATTGTTCACCCCCTCTATTGGCCTGTACAGATGACAGTAGATACACAAGAAATGGTGACAAAGTGTAATGTTGATTGTCTCCTAATGGAACAAATATTATTTAAAATGAAAGAGATTAAAGCAACACATGAGCTGAATGTGCTGCCTGGGGAAAGCAAATGTGCGTAGCGGTGGGTTCAGACTGAACCGCGCTGATGTTGGCCTCCTTTTCCCGACAGTTGGCAGCTTGTGCAAGCAAAAAGACCCCGAATGCGACAAGGAAACTTCGGAATGCACCGACTTTGATGGTGTCGCGCTCTGCCAGTGCAAAAGTGGGTACTTCAAATACAACAAGATGGACCACTCCTGCAGAGGTATTGCTCTTTGCGGGGCGTATTTTGGCTGAATTTTGCTTCAACTTTTTGTTCCAGTGGAAATGAGTGTGTGTGTGTATCGCCGTGCGTGCGAGAAGCTCCATATTGTGAATAAATATTAGCAGCTCAAGTTTCTTTTATTTAGTTAGGGGACTTTTCAGCAGACGCTGAAGATACAGTCTCTCTCTCGGAATAATATTATCTCTTTCTGGAGCACGCTGTGAGTCACAGTGATTGAGAAGAGGGATAAAAGGGCCCGACTGCTTTGGGCTCCAGTTCAGTGGCACAGAGCAGAGATGACGTGCGGCTCTGCCTGTTTTGATTTTGTCTGAACTCTGAGCGAACTTAGGAGAAGTGCTTTCAATTCACAAGCGTATATTAATACATCATCAATATTTTTGAAATAAGTATCTGAAGGTGATTATGAATTTATTTTTCAGCTGGGTTCCTAATAGAAATTTTAAGCTTAAAAGTTGTATTATTTTTTTAGCTACTCCTTGGATCATGAAATGTATTTTGCTACATTTTAAACAAGGTCTTTGTCTACGTGCCAGTGTCAAAATGACTGCTGTAGGATCAGGGTGTCCATTCTCTGGTTCCAGCGGTTGTTGTAGGGCTTCTTAAGAAATGCAGTTTTCTGATGACCTATCAATAAGAATTGCAGTAGTGGTTATATATTGCTTCTGGCAGTGTCTGAAATAGGAGGAGATGCTTTATTGATTCCAAATCTGATCAGAGAGTGAGAAAAATGTGCCTAGAAATAACTCATGTGCTGCAGGCTCTGGGATGGACATCTCAGAGATGGGCATCTCTGGGTCCCAGGTCATGGTCCTACCTCTCCTCTGCTCTGTGGCTCCAGGCAAAACCTTTCTCCTTTGTGTTTTTCTTCCCTTCCTTCATCTTGTATGCTGAGGAAAGGATTTCTATTAGGAAATATTAACCATCTTCACCGACCCTTGAGAGGCAGAGAAGAGCTTATGTAGTGGGTGGGGAGCTGAGCTGAAACCTGGGAGACTTTTGTCCAATTCTTGCTCCACCACCAATGGTGGGGGCCCAGGGAGAGTTATTCCCATTTTTCTTGTCCATGTCTCTTGCCAAGCAGTGTTGTGAAGACAAATACCTGAAAGGCTGTGAGGCGCTCAGATGCGATGATTACAGAGGGCTAAGAGATCTAACATCTTGTACATGGGTTTACTCCCTACTTACGGGTCTTGTTTGCTGTGCAAAATATTAAACCCCCTACCTGCACACAGTGAGGCCTCAGTTCCACCTTCAGCTCGCTGCTGCCAGTAGGAAACATCTTATTGACTAGCTTGAGAGTGTTTGAGGGACGGTATTGTTGCGGGATTTAGGCTGCAGTGCAGCAGCATGAAGGTAGGACCGACTGCCTGGTGCCGTGCTCCAGCAAGATACCAGATTTTCGGCACGTCTTTGTTCCCATCTGGGTAAGGCAGGTGGTTGGGATTTTGAAAGACTTTTTCAAAAGCCAAGCTATGGCCCTCATTTGGTATCTAGGGCTATTTTCTGATAAATATAGCATACAATATGCCAACCTCTTTGAAAATCTCTGCCCTATTAGTAACTAAACAGGAACTGAGGTCTCCTGAGCATCTGACCCTCATTGTGGGTCATGAAAATGTGGCGCAGTAACTCCAATTATAGTATTTGCAAAGAGGGAAACGACTATTGTGCTGCCCTGTCCGGTCTCCCCCGTGGGAAGACGGGTGTGGCTGGGTGAGCTGCTGGGGCACGGGAGATTGGCCACCCCAGCCCCCCGGGATTGTTCTGTCCTGCCTTGCGGTGTCTGTTCCCTGGGGCATGCTTGAAAAAGCATCCCCTGGACCAAGGAAGGGATGGGTCTCTAAGCCACAGGAGTTTTGACATGTTGGCTGTGGTACCTCTCGGTGTGCCGTTCGGTTGTCCCTGGGTTGTTGCTGGTTTTCAGCCTTCCTGGTATCTTCAGGACTGTTTTAGAAACAGGACGACAAACCCAATGTGCTAGCTTTTCAAGGGCGTGTTATTTTTAATAGTACAGAGTGTTTCTGGAGCAAAGTAAGGAGGCGCAAACCAGGTTTCCAAAGAGAACCTTGAGTCTTTTTCAGGAAGACAAAGGCAAAGGAATCCCGAGTAGAAAAGCACAGCTCGGTAGCTTTGCTTGGCCCCTGATGCTTAAGCCTTTCCGCTGCTCCCTGCTCATGTTCGAAAGCTTGTCAAGCGAGTGTGACAGCATGAGCTCTCCTGGAAGTGTGTTCAAAGGAGCAGGACAGATGCTAGCGGAGAAAGCAAAGTGGCAGGAAAAGGCAGGGTGAAGAGAGGAAAAGACGTAAGCACCGAGCATTTAAGACAGAGATGCATGTTCGGGATCTTGCTTTTCCTCTTTACTGCCCCTGTAGCCTCCTGGCCTGAGAGCTCTGTGGGGCCATTGGCCCTTGTCCTATCACTACTCACAAGGGAGTGCTCCATAATGCTCCATAAGCAGAGCAGACCATCCCTGAGGAAAAGGACTTGGGAGTGCTGGTTGATGAGAAGCTCAACATGAGCCGGCAATGTGCACTGGCAGCCCAGAAAGCCAACCGTATCCTGGGCTGCATCCAAAGAAGCGTGGCCAGTAGATCGAGGGAGAGGATTCTGCGCCTCTACTCTGCTCTTGTGAAACCCCACGTGGAATACTGTGTTCAGCTCTGGAGTCTCCAACACAAGAAGGACGTGGAGCTGCTGGAGCGGGTCCAGAGGAGGGCCACGAAGATGATCCAAGGGCTGGAGCACCTCTGCTATGAAGACAGGCTGAGAGAGTTGGGGCTGTTCAGCCTGGAGAAGAGAAGGCTCCGAGGTGATCTTATTGCAGCATTCCCATACTTAAAGGGGGCCTACAAGAAAGCTGGAGAGGAACTTTTTACAAGGATATATGGTGATAAGACAAGGGACAATGGCTTTAAACTGAAAGAGGGTAGATTTAGATTAGATCTAAGGAAGAAATTTTTCCCTCTGAGAGTGGTGAGGCACTGGAACAGGTTGCCCAGAGAAGCTGTAGCTGCCCCATCCCTGGCAGTGTTCAAGGCCAGGTTGGATGAGGCTTTGGGCAAGCTGGTGTAGTGAAGGGTTTCCCTGCCCATGGCAGGGGTGTTGGAACTAGATGATCTTTGAGGTCCCTTCCAACCCTAACCATTCTATGATTCTATGATTCTAATGTTTTCAGTCCACTTTTGTTAGCGAGTGAAAGGAGCAACCCGTCCAGTCTCATTTTGCTAATGCCTCAGTGTTATGAATGAGCCAGGCAAAGATCCTTTGGGATTTACTACCCTTGCCCTGGCTGTCTGTTGACTGAGGCTCTTAACTCTCGTCCAGTTACCTCTGGTCTCTTCCTTGACTTCCAAGAAACCATCTTAGAGAGAGAAAAGTAAATCCAGTGCAAAAAGCATCATGATGAACTGCAGCAGGAGAACTACGTAAAGAGCTTCACCTTCCCCATCCACAGCTGTGGGGGAATAAATGAAGTGAAAGAGGTAGGGGAGGAGCAGTGGGGCTATATAGGACAGAGAAAGGGGTGCAAGACCAGCTATGATGGACATTAGCCCCCTCATCATCGTTGGTGCCAGTTGCAAAGGCAAGTCTGTGCCTAGAGCTGCAACATTCATGATGTCATTGCGTTGCTCATCTGTGTCCTCATGCCCCTCAGGGAAAATGGCGTGCTGAGTGACGTGAGACACTTAGTAAATGGTGTGTAGGCAAATGGTATTTCAATATGACCACAAGCAAGGCCAGGCATCCAAGAGCAGAGTGCCAGGCACGCTGTAGGTTGTGTCTCCTGGGCAGAGCTGCGAAGGGGGCCTGGTTAGTAAAGAAGAGGTCCCCAGCTCTGGCTTGTAAGGCTAATATGGTCCCTGGGTGCATTTAAGGGTACAGGCAGGCAGAAGAGGAGAAGTTTTGTTATCCTTGGGCTTGCAACATCTATTTCTGGGAACCGGAAATCAAAAGTGTCAAAGAGAACCTGTGAGTGTTCGGAGAAAAGCTGCAATAACCAGGGAGACTCAAAGATCTCAATGCACTTGGCTTTGTTAAAGGCGAAGGAGTGATTTGATGGTGAGGAGGAGAAATGTGAATATATAACCTTTTCCAATCTAGCAAGTAAACATCCAAAGGCTGGAATTTGACACTGAGATAATTCAGACCAGAAAGAAGGTGAATGTTTTTAATGGCTGGGGAAACTAACTTTATGAGCCTCTGACCCAGGGTTGTGGTTGATTGTCTGTCACTGAAAATATTAAGATCAATCTTGGGTGGTTCTCTGAAATGTAACTCCAGTTCAACTATTTGATTTGAAACTGGAATTAGATTTAGGAAAGTTCTGTGACCTGTATTATGAGGGGGAGGTCACAGTCCCATTGCTCAGTGCTGGCATCAATATCAGTTGTTATTGGTGCTGGAAGAGCGATAAACTTCAGAATTGAGCTGGAATACTAGTACTCTCTCTTGGTTTTCTATGATAGTGCCAGCCCGTCCTGATGGACAATGTTACACGCTAGTCTTTCTTCTTCCTTCCTCCTCTCCTGTGCAAAATGTTTCTGAAAATAGAGACACTGGCTGTGCTGGGAGCAGCAGAGGAGGAGGCGAGGGCTTTGCTGCGGCTTAGCTGGGACCTTTGCTGGAAGCCCCCTCCTCTCCCTACAGATTTCCTTGTGTTTAGCTGAGGTTAGGGAGCACGTGAGCTTTCGTCTGCAGATTTTCCCTATGGTTAAGAGAGCAATGCAGAGGGAAGAGAGCTTGACAACTGCTGCCTCACCGTTTTTAAGCATATGATGTTTGAGGGGGGATAAAAAGATTCATGAGCACTTTTGTTTTCACAAAACCAGTCTAGTTTTATTCCCTGTGGAATGTGCTGCAGGGGTTTCCCAGAGCCCTGGCTGATGTCTTGTAGACCCCCAAGGGCTGCTGCATGTGCTGGCCCTGGCTTGTCCCTCTGCTCAAAGCGACTCCATCCGTGTCACTCCTACTCTGGTCTTGGAGCGACCACCTTCACCGACTCTGTGAAAGGCAACAGATCTGCAGGAGATCTGGTAGGACTAGCGCTGAGAAAAGCAGTGATCTTAGCAGTAATTTGAAGCTTATAATTGCATGTCCAGTGCATCATCACCTTTGCAGTTCATCAGAACGGTAATATAATTTTCTCAGATAATTCAGGTGATGAGATAGCTGTCCATAAGCACAGAAATTATTTTATTTTGAAGTGATGGTTTCAGGTTTTCACCAGCATTTTGTATGTAGCAGTTTTCTGGGTTATTTAGACCTAGTTAATTTAATTTCTGTTCTATAGTAAAATATGATATTTCAAATCTGATTTAGCTCCAAATTTGAAAGACAAGAAAAAAAGGTGATGAGGCAAAACATAACATACCACTTGGGTTACCCTGACTGTGTTTTCATAACATTTTGTTGCAATACTAACACTTAAAAGTAATTAGTAATGTGCATCCATGCTAAAGTAGCACTGTTCAACTGAGGCTGCGAAACAAAAGCTGGAGACACTTGCAGATTTTTTACACCAGTGCTTTGTGGGAAGTGGTACAAGTGTACAGTGAGTTTCCGTTTGGGCAAGAAGAGGGCTGGGAATTACACTACCAACTGCCCACCCTGTGCCAGGTTCCGAGCTCGCTCTGCCGGGAAGCCCTGAAACTGTCCCGACAAAGCCAGTGGGAGGTGAATTTAAGTGCAAAGTGTTTTGCCTGAACCAGAGGAGATGTTGCATCTCATCAGAGCCCATCGCGTTCCTGCCGTGCCAGCAGCACAGGGCGGCTCGTCAGGCCCCGAGGTCGATTGGGGTGAGGGTGCGGTGGGAAGCGGCGGTGGGAAATGCCTGTCCTGCACCACTACGCGGTGCTCATGGCCCTTCTCTCTTCTGTTTTTAGCCTGTGAAGATGGATATAAGCTGGAAAACGAGACCTGTGTGAGGTACGGTGACTGTTCTGCCCTTCTCCTACCCCACCGTCCTTAATACTGCTTTGGTGACCCGTCGGCACAATGAAGCCGCTGAAACTCCCTGTTGTTTTCTCTTACCAGCTGCCCGTTTGGCTTGGGTGGATTCAACTGCGGAAACCGTAAGTACCGAGTTTTGTTTCTTTTCATTTCCACAGCGTCAGAAATGAGAAATTGGAAACAAGTAATTGCAAACGACTATATCTAAAATACAGTAGGTACACAATAGTCTTGTCAGTGGTTTTTGTTTCTTCATTTTCTGTTGAAAATTACTTTGTTGACCTTCTTTAACAAAGATGACTTCTTAATATTATCTCCTAAGGAAAGGAGATCTCCTTCCTCTGGGTACTCTGTCATGACAGCACACACAGTGGGCACTCCTGAAGCGAGATACTCGAAAGTGAATCCATAAAATATTG